TTTTCAGTGTACAAGTCTTAACACTTCTTTTGTTAAATTTAGTTTTTTTGTTTGCTGCTGTTTTTTTTTTTTTTTGGTGGAGATAGCCTCTCACTCTGTCACCCAGGCTGGGGTACAGTGGTACAAACACAGCTCACTGCAGGCTCAACTTCCTGGGCTCAGGAAGTCCTCTTGCCTCAGCCTACTGAGTAGCTGAGACCATAAGCATCTGCCTGGCAAAAATTTGTTTGTTTGGTACAGTCGGAGTCTTCCTGTGTTGCCTGGCCTGGCCTTGAACTCTTGGGCTCAAGCAATCCTCTCGCCTTGGCCTCCCAAAATACTGGGATTATAGGTGTGAGCCACTGTGCCTGCCAAGTATTTAATTTTTTAAAATGTTATTGTAAATGGAATTTTTCCCTGTAAATTTCAGTTTTAGGTTGTTCATTACAAGTGTATAAAAATATATTTTACTTTTGAATATCAAATCTTAAATATGCAACCTTGCCAGACTCGTTTATTAGATTTTATGTTTGTTTTTGTGAATTTTTCAGGATTTTCTATAAACAAGGCCTTATCATCTGCAAAATTAGCTGAGCGTGATGGCAGGCTATGGATAGATAGTTTTATTTCTTTCTTTCCAATCTGGGTGATTTTTCTTTACCTCATGAATAGAACGTCCAATACAATATTGAATAGAAGAGGTGAAAGCAGTCTTACTTCATTCCTGAACTTTGAGGAACAGTTTTTAGTCATTCACCATTAATTCTGATGCCCTTGATCAGGTTGAGGAAACTGTTTCTACTCTTAGTTGTTGAATATTTTTATCATTAAAAGATATTGGATAAATGTTTTTACATTGCTGTTTTATTAAAATGTAACCTCAGATTATTGGTAATATTACAGATGAATAATTATTTTCAACAATTTTGAGCACATATGACAGTACCTAAAAAGCTTTTTTAGTCAAATTGTATTTGATAGATTATTCTAATTTTAATGATTAGAAAGACTATATTTTTAACCTTTCATACTTTTCCCCTTCCCTCCCCCCTGCTTTTTTTTTTATAGGAGTAACTTTATATATGGCTCATATTTGAGTAAAGAAGAAATTGCTTTCTCAGATCCCACTCCTGATGGAAAACTGTTTGCAACACAGTACTGTGGCACTGGTCAGTTTCTGGTATATAATTTTATTAATGGACAGAATAGCACGTAAAACAAATTCTTGCCTACACCACTAGAGGACATTTATTGAAAAGAATGGATTGGTTGCTGACTTTAACCAGGAACTAGGGCCATTTTTATTACAATGAACTCAGGACTGGCAACAACCATATGGTTGTTCCATTTTCATAAAATTGGAAACAATGCAGTAATAGCTTATTGTTTTGTTTTTTAAAGAAGATATTTTATTATCTTTTACAGAAATTTATGATTGATGTATTTTATCTATAGTTATTTAGACATGTTTACATGCAGCAGATAATTGTTCATAGTGGACTGAAAACTAATGCAAGGACTATGGTCTCAGTGATAAGTATATTTTGAAGTTCTTAATATGGAAATATACCAGTGTAGCTTGGTACTGTATTTTTTACTATTGATCTGCTGATACCAGTTATAGGTTTAAAGATTGTATTTTCACAGAGTGGAAACCAGTTTTTTTTTTAATTTTATTGAGACAGAATCCCACTCTTTTGCCCAGGCTGAGTGCTGTGGCATGATCTCGGCTCACTGCAATCTCTGCCACCTGGGTTCAAGCGATTCTTGTGCCTCAGCCTCCCAAGTAGCTAGGATTACACTCGGCTAATTTTTGTATTTTAGTAGAGATAGGGTTTCACCATGTTGGCCAGGCTGGTCTCAAACTCCTGACCTCAGGTGATCCACCCGCCTCTGCCTCCCAGAGCCTTGGGATTACAGGCATGAGCTACCACGACTGGCCAGAAACCAATTTTTTTAGTTATTGTTGAAGTAGGGTGCAATATTAAGTGTTTTGGAATTTGAAGCTGTTTTAAAAGGCCTGAACTATACCCCTATAGAAAAGGAAAGCTCCAGCTAAACAGGAAGATTTGGAATATTGAGCATTTTTTCCTGATTTTGCTTTTTCCTATCTTTGATGGCAGGAAGTAGAAAGTGGTAAAGAATTGAGGCTTTTCTTCTTAAAGAGCTATAAATGACAAGCATTAGGAAAGGTACTCTTTAAATTCATTATTCTTGCATTCTGGTTTCACTTTTTAAAATAAATGGCAACCAGGCACACCTAGGCTGTTAACAAATCTCAAAGAGGTTTAGAAAAACCTATAAAATACTTGGAAGTGAGGTATGGATGACTTGGTATCTGCTTTGTTATTCCTCAGAAATACTGCACTGAGTATATGCCCTCATTACTGGACTTCATTTTGATACTTGTCTATCCTTCATAGTGCCCTCTACTTCTAAAGGGTTTATATGTTGAAAACTGCTGTGGCCTTTTATGACCTGTATATAATGTAGAATAAAAATAATAAAATACTTGATAGCTTTTTCTAAGTGATCAGTGTACTAACAGAGATAATGGTGTGTTGTCATTTGTGCTTTTTCAGGGTGTTTTTTTGGTTTCATACCTTGAAATATGATTAAAACATTGGCTTCCTAAAGGTAGTTTCCACCGGTTTGCCAAAGGATCATTACGTCACCAGCAAATCAGCTGAACTTTTCCAAAAGGCAAAATCCATTCTGCACTGTTTTATGTAATCATTATGACAGTCCTGTGAGGTGGGGTTTGTAAGTGAGGAATCTGGAACTTAGAAGATAGTTAAGAGCAGTTTATGTAAAAAGTGTTTAAACATTGAACTAAAGCTGTGATGTGGAGATGAAGATGAGACAGATACACATTTAAAAAATAAAATTGAAAAATTGACACAGTTGAATTGATAGGAATTTATAACAACCAGAAAAAGATCATGGCAAAGAGGCTAAGGTAAGTGGGAATTTTGGTTTGGGTAATTGCGTTAGATTGACAGATGGGAATACAGGGGAATTAGGTTGGGAGGATTGGATGGGGATGCCCTCAGATTTGGTCATGATTTTAAGGTGGTTGTAGAATCTCCAAGTGGAGATATATGTTTGGTATACAATTGGATATGTAGATCTAGAGTTTGAGACAGATTCTAACTGAGCAAACAAATTGAGTTTACTTATTTATTTGAAGGTTTAGAGGGTCACCCTGAGGTTTGTAAAATGAGAAGGTAGAAGAGATTTTTGAGGTACACCGTCATTTAGGAGTCTCAGAGAAGAATACCTAAGAAGGCATGAGCAAGGTAGGAGAGCCAGAAGAGAGAGGTAGAAACCAAGGGAAGAATTTCAAGATTCAAAGAATGGTCAACCCTGTCATATCACAATTGAAGACTGAAGAGAGCCCAAGTGATGTTAGGAAAAGAGCAGTCTCAGTGGAGTGGTGGAGGCAGCAGGGACACAGTGAGTATACATAAATGGCCACAGACTACAGAAGAGGGTGGGTCTGTAATTGTTGACTATATAAAGGTGCTGATAAATGTTTTGTTAGCAGTCCTCATATAGTTGTTGGTCTTTATAAAAATGCCTAGCATAGAGACACTATAGGAGCCACAAATAGAGTCAGGAACTACAAGATTTTATGGATAATGCCTTTATCTGCATGGACACCGATAAAAAGCAATATTTTCCTACTTCATAATATGCGAGAACTTGGTGTATCTACCAAAAGCCTGACTGTTATAAGGACAGTCAGTGAGTACAACAAACCTGCAGTGATATTTTAATTGCTCTCATTTACTTTGCACGGCTGCCCAGCTATAGAGTCTTATCCCTCTGGATGGGAACATAGCTGTATTCCTGCGCGTCCACATTGTGGCTAGGGTTGAGATTGCTGAGTTGATTTCTGGGGTAGTAACTGTAGACATACTATTTTTCATGGCTCTTGAGCCTTCTGGCAGAAAAAGGGATCAGTTCTGTCTTTTAGCAACCCCACCCACCCACCCACCATCCTTTTGGTAAAAATAAAATACATTGGACTAGTAAAAATAAAGTATTTGTAATGAAGTGGTCAGAAAACAACTTACTGCTGTTGCTTTTTTTTTTCCTTTTAACTTAATATCATCTGTTGTCATAGTCACTGAAGTAGATGCTTTAACCCAATACTTGACAGTTGAGAGCACAGTGAATTTATGTCAGTGACTTTTTCTTTGGCCTTACAGGCAATTTCTAAAATCATCTTTAGCAGTGTTTTTTTTGTTGTTCTGTTTTCTTTTCAGTGAAGCCAAGGTTTCAGTGTTAGAGCAGTATTCTCCTAGACCCAGAGGAAGCTTTAAGGACCAGTTTCCAGTTTCTGTGTCTAAAGAGAAGCTTGAGGAATGTTTGTTCCTGGATGTTGTTCCAGGCCTAAGTAGTTTAATGTGATGTTGCAGCAGTCAGAGTTTCACAGTCTTTTCAAGGCAGCTGCTTTGGAATGCATAGTGGAACACCACTAGTCTTTGCTTTCCTCTGAAAGTCTGTCATTACACTTAAAAATACATACTGCCCTTCCTGAGGGCCCTTTGGCTTAGAAGATTGTTTTCATGGATTCTATGTCAAATTGTTTTAATTTACTATACTTTATTAAATAGATTGAAAGCCATTTTTTTGGACAGCAAAGTTATTCTCAAAAGTTCATCGAACTTTTAAGATACAGTTCGTACTACAATAACACTGTCTTCATACTACATAGTTCTAGCAGCTTTTGAGACGTTCTCAGAAAGTTTGAGCAGTTTAAACTAGAGATTAACAATAACACCTTGTATCATACCACATAGTTCTAGCAACCCAAAGTTCTGTTTCGAAAAGGACATCAAAGTGAGTATAGCTGCAATCTGTCAGATAAAAGATTAGGATCTACTGTGTGTGTTTTTAACATCTTTTCTTAGAGTTGTCCTAAAAAGGCTGGAAGTCACATTATAGGTTGGATATTGCCAGAGTCAGGGTGCTTGTTTTCTTAACATGCCAGAAAATCAAAAAATAACTTTTTGGAGAGGGTGGGAGATAACTTTAATACATTCACCAAATTAAAGCACAGAAACATACAGTAGACACAACTTAAGACAATTTTGAATCATTAACAAAATGTGAGGTAGGCTGACTAGTGAAATTCACCAAATTTTAGTTAAGAAAATTTTACAGTAATAAAGTAACACAGGTGTCCCCTTTTCTAAAAATCACAAAAAGCAATTGCATAAATTACAGCCCAAAAAAATTGACTACAACAATTCTGGTTTTTAGTTTACATTCAGTATTAACCAGTGTGAACTGTCATACATGCTGAGGTTCAGCCGTTCTATATGTGTTACTGTGTGGGCCTAGTGAATCCATTCATCCCACATCAGTATCCTAAGGGCTTGCAAAGCTTAAAGCTGAACACACTAGGATATATATACACACATATCGTGGTGTCCTGTGTTCGTGCAACTTTATCCTTAAAGAAGGACCTAACATTCTCTGAAGAGTTGTACTGGTAAGATGATTTTAAAAGATCCAAACCTTAGTAAGATAGGCTTTGAAAAGAAAATAGGTCAATTTCTCTATTATAAGGGTGATGGTCTTTTGGCTTTGTTCTGGCATATCTCTTCCACAGAGTTAAATAATATTTAAGAGCTCATAATAATTTGAATTTTCAGAGTGCAGCCATAACTACTGGAGTACCTGCATCTGATGTAATTACTTAAAAAAAATTCTTTAGACTATGAAGTCATAAAGCCAGAAGAAACCCTGAGAGGCCATCTACCCCAGGTACAATTGTTTTAGAATTATTTCAAGTATTTGATTTGCCCTATGTAGTTAACGTTATTGGAATATTGCACAGACAGTGGGTTTCTTGATATTTGCATTAGGCCCTTTCAATAAAACAGGAACAAGTGAAATACATTCATATTTAAACCAAACTGCTTCAAAACATACCTCTTTACCAAAAATTCCGCTGTACTAAAATTAAGGAGTATTTTTTAAAGCATATATAAGGCAGGTCCTCTTTAAAGGACAATTAAAAATGGGGTTAAAAGGAATTATTGACTTCAAAATACAGTTAAAGCATAAGTAGCTATATTAAAACCAAGAGATCTACAAACCATTTTTAGTCTAATACATTCCATTTTTTCACTAGCTGTAAACTCCTTGTTATAAGATAATAAAGCTGGTCAATTAACATTTTTTGTTCTAAGTAAATGCAGGCTTAGTAGGCCCCTCAGTAGTTTCAGGTCACAAATAAGATGGATTCAAGTAAAAATGACCATTTTAAGTGGGATAAAATAGTAAATATGGGCTGAGAAAACTCAAGAGATTGTTCAATGGTGAGAACTGGTATAATTTAAGAGTAAATTTCTAAGAGTTTGTCTAGAACAATTCTAAGAATAATGTTTTTGATTAAAATATTAGAGAAATCTGTAGAAACATGCCTTCCACTGCTGATACTAGACAAACACCCCCTGTTGATTTTAATGAGTCAGAAAGACTCTTAATGGAGTCTTCCTTACTCCTCACAGGAGTCACTGGTAGGACTAAGTAAAACACTTCTCTTTCTATGGCTCAGTTTCCCAATTCAGCAATTTCTGTGGTGGTGTCAGTGTAAGGTGGTAATATTCAGTGCATCTTTTAAAGGAAGCTTTGCCTGAGTCCCTGAAAGGAAGGAAACTAGTTCCACTCTGCAACAGAGCCTCAGCCTGACATTTAGGTTTGCTGGTGCCAACTGCTCAATTCCAACAAAACAGGGTGAGTGCAGGTTACCTGCCGAAAACTTCTCAACTTACACAACTGACTTAATCAGGTTCTTTTGCAAAGATTAATTGCTGTTCCATTGTCTCTTAGGTAAGATATTCTTAAAGCCTGGAAACAAGTTTAAAGAATGGGAAAAGCAAAGGAATTAGGCTAGGAGAAGATGCATAAATGCATACAATGCCTGCTCTGCATTTACTGTTTGTTCAGTTTAAATAGTAAACTTTGAACTCCTGTGGAAATTTTGCCAAAAGTTTCAATACATAGAAGATTATAAATCTTAAACTAACACTGCACAGAGAAAGACACAGCTACTGCTTTTTTTTTTTAAATACAAATATCATCTACATTCTATCATTTCAAACCCCTGAGTAATACTGTACCAAAGTACAGATCTGAAGAGAAACTGAGGGTTCAGGCCTCAAACGTTAATCTTCAATTAATTCCATACCAATGGCATGAGTCTCCCGTAACACATTCAGGCTAGTTAATGCTGACAGTCAGTTTCCCCCTAACATAATGTAATAGAAAAAATAATGCAGACTCCATATTCACTCTCCAAAGTATATCCTCCTCAGGATCCCATGGGCAGACCGTATCTTCAGTAATTGCATAACTGCCTAGGGGAGTTTACCTGAATTTCAGGGTCCAATTAAGAGTGGTATCCCCAAAGATCTGGGTCAGATTTGGGGAGTTCTTTGGAGAATTTAGACAAATATGTTGCACTTTGCTCCACAGTGATTGTACTTTAAAGGAAAAAAAAAATTCCCAAATTGTTTCTGTCCTACCCCACCTAGGCATCATTTTGCTGTTTTTGGTCTCTTCAAAAGCTCATACATGACGTCCAGTAAGAAAGTAAAGAGGCTTGTCATCACTGCTATTAGCAGTTTGAAACTCATCCCGGAGGCGGAACTGCCACTCATCTTCTAGCTCTAAGCGGACAATTGTTTGGCGCAAGGAACTTCTGTCTTGGCAGATGACACACAGGGTAGCACCTTCAGAAAACAAGTCAGAAATATGTCTTAGGCTCAGGGATTGAGAACTTTACTGTCTGATTTTATTTCCTGAGCTAAGACATCTGAGAACCAACAGGTAGGTCAACAGATGGATAAGTAATTTATGAGAATTGTCTAATTTTATTATTTGAGCAAGTAGTTTTACAAATTCAGTAATTTGTTAAAGAGTACAAAGTAAGCTAGCTTCCAGCTACATTCCCTCTTCCTTGCGAGAACTAATGTATTTCTCATGTGTCCCTCCTAGGTTAGGGTTTCTGAACCTCAGCGGTAGTGTACTTGGCTAATTCTTTGTTGTGGGGCTGTTCCGTGTCCCCCTTTTTTTTTTTAGAGACAGAGTCTCGCTCTGTCGCCCAGGCTGGAGTGCAGTGGCACAATCCCGGCTCACTGCCACCTCCACCTCACGGGTTCAAGTGATTCTCCTGCCTCAGCCTCCCAAGTAGCAGGGAGTACAGGCACATACCGCCATGCCCGGCTAATTTTTTGTATTTTAGAAGAAACAGGGTTTCACTGTGTTGCCCAGGCTGGTCTCGAACTCCTGAGCTCAGGCAATCCACCTGCCTCAGCCTTCCAAAGTGTTGGGATTACAGGTGTGAGCCATAGCGGCTGGCCTTGTTCTATATTTTGTTGATGTTTAGAACCTAAACATCCAGCAGTCTTGGCTTCTGCCCACTCACTATGTGCCAGCAAGCAGCAGCCCCATTATGACAATCAGAAATGTCTCTGTCTCCTGGGAGGCAAAATCTACCCCTTCCCCATCCCCAATAAGAACCACTGTGTCAGAAATACTTAATACATAAATCAATCCACAGTCCCCCTACATCCCCGCTCCCTGTTCTCATGCTGTACAGTGTTCTGAACCTCACTTTTTTTGCTGATCTCAAAGGTCATTTTATCAAGATTATTTGTGATGTTTAATATTAGTTTGTTCTTAGGCTAGTCTCTTTATATGGTGCATACCTATTGAAACAACTGTCTTGTTTTCTTTTTTGAGACAGGATGTCACTCAGGCTGGAGTGCAGTGGCACAATCTTGGCTCACTACAACCTCCACCTCCTGGGCCCAAGTTCCTCCCACCTAAGCCTCCTGACCTGGCACTACGGCCGTGTTCCACTGTGCCTGGCTAATTTTTGTATTTTTTGTAAAGGCAGGGTTTTGCCAGGTTGCCCAGGCTGGTTTTGAACTCCTGAGCTTGAGCTCAGATGGTCTGCCTGCCTCAGCCTCGGCCTCACAAAGTGCTGGGATTACAGGTGTGAGACACCACACCCGGCCTATGGTTTCTGTATCAGAATCACAACTAAGGGTTTGTTTATGTCTAGGGATGCAATTATACAAAATTATTGCAGTTGCTTCCTGCCCCAGGCAATATGTTAGAGTCAGTAGAATGTACTTAGTTATATACATACATAGACTCATTAACCTGATATCTATTAAAATTAAATTATATGAGAAGAATTATGTATTCTTGCAGTGTATCATTCCTTTCTAAATAGTGGCAAAAACCTATTTAATATGGTCGCAAATTTGGCTATTCATCTGCATTTAGTCTTGGGATAACAATGACTTGATTCCCTCCCAGCCCCCAACTAGGGGCCCTAATTTTAAAAGCAGGATGTTCAAATTATTGGTAAAAATTGTGTTCAAGTGCTTTTAAAAAATATGTTTATCTTCCGTATTTGGCTCAGGGGGAACCAATAGCAATTGCAAGATACTAAATTTGACTTACCTTTTAGAAATTTAAAGTTCTTAAGAAGATCAGCACCTACAAAAGAGTCACAGAGGTACAGAAGGAGTCCACTGAAAAACACTCCTTCACAATTGACATTGCTGGAGTGGGGTCTGGAGCTGATGTAGCATATGGCCACCTGAAATCATCAAGCAGAAATAGTGTGGGCATTTCAAGCGCAAGCAAAATATCTGCAGTTCAGCAGAATGAGTCAGTACTTTTCTTTTTGTCTATTCAAGGGTAAGGTAAAGGTGATGAGTTTTTTCCAATGTTAACTCAAATGGCTTAGTTAAGCTTTGCAACCTCTTTTATTTAGCATACCAGTTGTTAACCTGTTTAAAGCTTCTCTTATTTCTCACAATAAAGGACTATTAGGAAATAAATTAGAAATAAGCTCTTCCATTTAAAAGAGTCTTTTTAAAATTTTTAAAAATACCTTCCACAAAAAGCACACTTAGGAAAGATTAAATGTTTGAATTACCTTATTGGTGAGAATAAAAAAAATATTTTTGATCAGCTTTCCATTTAGATATACTTAAATTTCAATTGGATGGAAGCTTATGACGGTACATGGGCTGGGCATGGTGGCTCACACCTATAATCCTAGCACTTTGGGAGGCTGAGGCGAGTGGATCACCTGAGGGTCAGGAGTTGGAGACCAGCCTGGCTTACATGGCGAAACCCTGTCTCTACTAAAAATACAAAAAAAATTAGCCAGGCATGGTGGCAAGTGCCTATACTGCCAGCTACTCGGGAGGCTGAGGCAGGAGAATCGCTTGATCCCAGGAGGCGGAGGTTACAGTGAGCCAAGTTCGCACTACCGCACTTCAGCCAGGGCAACGAGTGAACTCCGTCTCAAAAAAAAAAAAAAAATAAGTGCATGAATTTAAATTTTTGGTTCTATCTGGCTTCTGTGATGAACAGATGATAACTGCAGAAATTCAGGGAAGTAAGTAAGATAGTTGGGAGTTAGAGCCGCAGAATGACTAAATGCATGAGCCAGTCTGCTTGGGTTCAAATACTGGTTCCTCCATTGAGTAGCCATGGAACAGTGAGCAGTTTCCTTCCTTTTACTATACCTCAGTTTCCTCGTCTATAGAGATAACGATAGTACTTGTTTCATAGGATGTTTTCTGAATTAAATTTAACTTAGTATTCGGTAAATGTTAGCTGTTAGTAGTAGTAGTATTGAGATTGTGTTAATATCCAGAGCCGTGGACTCTAGGATAGGGGAACTGGAATATCTGGGTCAGACATAATCAGTACATAAATACTGTAAAAGATGTTATTAGATCTCATGGGTTTGGGTTCGTTTTGGTTTTTTTGAGATGGGGTCTCTCACTTAGGCTGGAGTGCAGTGGCACAAATCATAGCTCACTGCAACCTTGAACTCCTGGGCTCAAGTGATCTTCCCACCTCAGCCTTTTGAGTAGCTGGGACTACAGGTATGTGCCATCACACCTGGTCAGTTGTTTTAGTTTTTGTAGCGACAGGGTCCATGTCCTCCAGGCTGGTCTCAAACTCCTTGCCTCAAGTGATCCTCATACCTCAGCCTCCCAAAGTGCTGGGTTATAGGCATGAGCTTCTATGCCTGGCCTTTACATCTGATGGCTCCTTAAGGTTCCTTCTACTTCTAAAATTCTATAATTTATTACCCAATCTACAGTGTAGATTATTGAAACATAAAAATGGGAATGTAAAATGTTTACACTGAAATTTTAAAAATTGGTTTTCAAAATTGAATACAGTTGGACTTCAGTGTTGAGTATGTTTATGGATGTGTGTTTTCTTTCAATACATACAAAGAAGAGTCCCTGGAAGGAAATAGTATACCAAAATGTTCTTCTGGCAGGTGACTTGACTTTATGCTTTTATTTTAAAACATTTTTACAAGGAGGATGTACTACAGTAATGATTTCTGAAGGACAGCTTAGTAGCAGGAGCCTGGAGGTGCAAGTGGCAGTTTTTTAAAGAAATTAAAACATATAGAATTTTAGAAAGAGAGTGAGACCTCTAAAGGCTTCAGGTGATACACATTTATTTGTTCAGTAATCACTGAGCTCCTTATATATGTATAAAACAATGGCTAAGACATTGTGTGTCTTTGAAGAACTCACACTTTTATGAAGAAAATCCCACAAAATTACAGTATAATCTGATGAATGTTAAGACAGTGGGAGGAAGTAACTGCTGCCCAAAGTCACTGAGGCAGGCTTCTCAGAGGAGGTGATGTCTGAGCTGAGTTGTACATCTGAGCTCATTTGTACAGTTAAAATAGGCATGGGGAGGGTTAACTGCCATCGTATGTTGTGTGAGCCTTTGCATAAGTGAGTATGTGAAGGGTAGAAATACAGGTTTTGATCTGTATTACTATCTTTAATAAAAGCTCTGGCAAAGGATCAGACTGGCATCTTGATTTATATTTCTCGTCACAGACTCCTATTTTGCCTCCATTTCAGTTTTCAAACAGTTAAAATGAGAAAGGGATGGATGTAGGTAAGCACAGTATCCCCCACACCCTTTTTACCTCTGGTCCAATGTTAAGGTAGCAGTCAATGGCCAGCACGGGACTCTTGAAGTTACGGATGGCTTTGGGGAAGAGTTTATATGAGGCGTGCTGAAGGAATTTCTCCAGGAGAAACTGTGCAGGGGCTGCCAGTAGCGTGTGTTCACTGTCAGGAGCGCAGATGTATTGAAGGGGCAAGATGGGTGCTAAGTTCTCTGACACCTGAAATCAGAGTCAACATCATGATGGGACACTTGTCTGTCACTGGATTGAACAGGTGAGGAAACACTGAATTGTATCCTAATAGTCAAATAATAACAGTAGCAGAGTGAGGGGTGCTAGGTTCTATGTCAGTCAGGGGTCCTGAAAATTTTTTTCTCTTGGGAATAGTGCAATAGGATTTAATGCAAGTCATACACAGTGAGGGGAGAACAGAACAGGCTTCCCTGAAACCACATTTAACAGGTACACTGTGAGATCTAATCAGAAGCGTTTTACAGTGGTGCTCGGTATGTATGTATCTATGTATGTACGTAAAGGTTAAATCCTATCTATGTCATCACAACCCCACCAAAAAAATGGCAAGAAGGATTCTAAGCTCTACTGGTAGCACACATGCTGTGAATTATTAGGTATCAGTAAATCTCTTAGAAAGGGGTAGTAATGCAGGTTTTGATCTATATTACTTTTATTTTTTTGAGACAGAGTCTCGCTGTGTCGCACAGGCCTGGAGTGCAGTGGCGCGATCTTGGCTCACTGCAGCTTCTGCCTCCCAGGATCAAGTGATTCTCCTGTATCAGCCTCCCAAAGAGCTGGAACTACAGGCACGTGCCACCATGCCCAGCTAGTTTTTGTATTTTTAGTAGATATGGGATTTCACCATGTTGGCCAGGATGGTCTTGATCTCTTGACCTCGTGATCTGCCTGCCTTGGCCTCCCAAAGCGCTGGGATTACAGGCGTGAGCCACAGCACCCAGCCATATTACTTTTAGGAAAGTTCTAGCAAAAGATCAGACTGGCATCATGATTTACATTTCTCTCATGTATTACATAAAGAATGTAAAAATGTGGCAGGGTGCGGTGACTGAGGCAGGAGAATCACTTGAACCTGGGAGGCATAGGTTGCAGCAAGCCACTGCAATCCAGCCTGGGCGACACAGTGAGACTGTCTCAAAAAAAAAAAAGTAAAAATATAAAGTTTGCCATCTTGAAACTGAAGCTTTGATGGATTTGTTAAAGCTTAAATCCAAATAAACTTAAGATTTAAGGCATCTAAAGTAATTTTGTTGGATTGTCAAAACAAATGTTTTGGAGCTAGATGAGTCTCAGTAACAGAAAGGAGATTGAGAAATTGACATTAAGAACTCCCTTATGGCCAGGCACAGTGGCTCACGTCTGTAATCCCAGCACTTTGGGAGGCCAAGGTGGGCGGATCACTTGAGGTCGGGAGTTCAAAAGCAGTCTGGCCAACATGGTAAAACCCCATCTCTACTAAAATACAAAAATTAGGCAGCTGTGGTGGCACACAGCTGTAATCCCAGCTACTCAGGAGGCTGATGCATGAGAATTGCTTAAACCCAGGAGGTGGAAGTTGCAGTGAGCGAAGATCACGCCACTGCACTCCAGCTTAGGGGACAGAGTGAGACTCTGTCTCAAAAAAGAGAACTCCCAGGAGGCGGAGGTTGCAGTGAGCGAAAATCATGCCACTGCACTCCAGCTTAGGGGACAGAGTGAGACTGTCTCAAAAAGAGAACTCCCTTGTGTTATTTCACTTTTCCAATAAAATGGAAAGTGCTTAATGCCAATATCTAATAATAAAGACATTACTAAGATACTGTATTTATTTTCAGCATTAGAATCAAGCTTGCAGTACTTACCATGATCTTTGGTTTAATGATAAAGTCCCTTTGCCCGCCAACCTGAACATGTTTCTTCATGAGGCTGAAGTTATTAAAGCGGCAGATGAGGAGGCCACTACTGTTGGTTCTCAGATTAAAGTCAACATCTTCACAGAAATACCTAAATTGTAACCATAACAATAGGTTTCTTCACCTGGCATATCTCAACCATGATAAGTATACACAGAGAGATAAATGTGTAGCAAGATATTAGGAACCTAAAATAACTATGCTTCTGTGGAGCTGGCCCTCAACATTCTGAGTCAAGTCTATGTTGAGGAGAATGAAATCATGTACATGGCACCTAGAGAACGGTGCCTTTAGGCTCTAAGAAGTCAGCTTGCTGCTCCATTTCTGTATGGCCTTGAAAAAAGCCTTTCTCAGAAGGGAAGTGAGATGATTTTTGTCCCAGATATGTCACAGGTTTGAGGTATCCCTATGCAAAAACAGGACTATATTCCTATTTGATACACTCCGACAGAATAGAAATGCAGAGGTGCTCCCAGTTTAAAAATTCTGGCTACAAACAGGATGAAGCCTCTGTCAAATTTAAAACAGAAGTGAAAGCAGCAGCTATTCTGTAACCGCAAGGTTGGCATAAGAAGGACTTTATGGTTCCTGCCTTCTTGCTTGGCCCTCTCAGGTTTTGTAGGAAGCTGGACATTATTTGGGAGGCAAGGCCATGGTTAGCCTGCTCATACTCATCTGCTGCCTCTTCCCTACAGGACCCAAATCCCTGAGTCCTACTAACTACTCACATTCCTTCTGAGTTTTGAGGGTGAAGGTGGGCTTAGTCTTAGATGTTTATGGGTCCACAGACTAACTTGAGTCAACAGTTACTGTGTCTTAGTTCTTGTTGAATAATGAGATGGCTAAAGTGTTTTCTTCAAGTATTTCATACTGTAACCCCTGTTAATGTCTAGGTCAGTTGGTGATAAAGGGACACACATGGGCTTGTGATCACCCTTTCTCCTTGCCCACATAAAGAGTAAGCTTCTCAATTGAAGACACAGGAATAAAAGCATTGCAGAGGCTAGAGCTGAGCAGAAGCAATCCGTAGATGCCAGGATTACCTGCGTCCATGAGGCCTAACTTACCTGTTGAAGTCATACTGTACATTCTGAGTCAAGTCTATGTTGAGGAGAAGGAAATCATGCACATGGCACCTTGAGAACGGGGCCTTTAGGCTCTGAGAAGTCAGCTTGCTGCTCCATTTCTGTATGCCCAAGATTGCGTAGTGGACAATTTTTGGTGTGGCTTCAATGTGCTGCAAGACAGTCTTCAAGGACACGTTCTTACTGGAAACTCCTACTTCCATGGGCTGGCTATGAAATATAGTTTGTATAAGATGTCAATAAATATTACAGAAGAGAGGATCGTTTGTGAAGTGTCTACACTGTTATATACCAGTAATACTCTCAAGGATATAATTAACTGATTTACTTTGTATTAGCAAATGGAGAAGAATGTCAAGCCCAGTTCTCAGACTTCCTGTCATTATTAAAGAAGCTGCCTTTTGGGGCTGGGGCTTACCATTTTAAGGCAGAGAAAGAAATCTGGCCCCTGTGTTAGAGTGCACAATGAATAAAGAGTTGCCAAAGAAGAGGTAGCCAGAGGTTGGAAGCATAGAATTATCCTTCTGAGTTCTGGTAATTGTGTGTAAGGAATATTTGAAAAATTCACTGGCTTCAAATCCAAAATAGAAACAAGGACACAAAATCACAATGTTGATCTGGGAGGGCTTAAAGATCCCCTGGCAGTGTTGCAATGGACGTGTTACTGAATTTTGGGGGTTTATTGTGTAGGACTTTTTAAAAATGTTTGGCATTCTCTGGTCTTCGTAAGATGCTCCTGACTAGCACCCCCTAGCACTGTGAGGTGGCACTAACCCAGGAAGAGAACCACTGATTTTGGCCCAGGTATAATTTTACAAGTGACAGACTTGAGAGGGGGAGAGGTGAGATGACTTTCCTTTTTCATACAGACAGTTAAGATGCATGACTGGGTGTGGTGGCTCACACCTGTAATCCCAACACTTTGGGAGGCCAAGGCAGGATTGCTTGAGCCCAAGAGTTCAACATCAGATTGGGCAACATGGTGAGACTATCTCTCTACAAAAAATTATAAACAAAAAACAGCCGGGGCTAAAAAAACCAGGTCTCCAGATTTGAGATGTCAACAGTCTTTCTACATAAATCGTAGAGTCTCAACAGACTTTGTTTTTTGAGACAGAGCCTCACTTTGTCACCCAGGTTGAAGTGCAGTGGCACAATCTCAGCTCACTGCAACCTCTGCCTCTTGGGTTCAAGTTATTCCCATGCCTCAGCGCTACAGGCACGTGCCACCATACCCAGCTTTTTTTTTTTTTTTTCCTCCCAAAATTGCATTAAGCTAATTTTTGTATTTTTAGTAGGGAGGGGGTTTTGCCATATTGGCCAGGCTGGTCTAGAACTCCTAGCCTTAAACTATCAGCCTGCCTCAGCCTGTCAAAAGTGCTGGAATTATAGGCATGAGCCATAGTGCTTGGCTTCAGTAGACTTTAATAGCTAACCAATGCCATGATTCCAGAATGGTCCAGGAATTCAATGGGCTATTGAATGTCTACGTAAAAAATTCCTAAGTCACCACAAAATGTTCTAATGAGAGTGGTTTCATGGTTGACTGTCTTGCTCTGGAAAACTGTCTCTCTCTTATTGATTTCCATATGTAACTGTAGCCAAGAAATGTATTGTCCAGTCTACATACAGCATTGTCATGCCCTCAGAACAGCTTGGAAGTATCACTACCTGGATGGCTCCTGAACACTGTGAATGTTCCATAGGACACACGAATCATCCATCATGACGATGAAAGGCCAGACACACTGGCGTTTAATGCCTAGCTCCTCCAGGCGGTTTCTCTCCAATTCTAGGTTGTGATATGATAGCTCCTTAATGAGGAACCTGGCAGCACCTGGAAGGCAACATAACCACATCTACATATCCACACATCCTTCACTCAGGCTTGGCTGAAGTCCCACAGGCAGCTATATTCTCTCCACAGAATGCCTGTTCACATGGCAACCATGCAGGGTGGGAGCCAATCAAATGTTCAGAGCATTGGCTCTCAAATCAGTGTACGTAACAGTTACTGGGGAATCACTTTTAAATGTAGATTCTTAGAGCCCATTACCAGATCTGTATTTGAGTGAGTCTGGTGGGCCAAAAGCCAGAGATATCTTTGAGGATACAAATGATATGAACCATGCTTGCAAGAGTATTGCAAGAATCCAGTTTCCCTCATAGGACAAAGGAATCCACATCTAGGAAATGCTATTACTGTTTACTTCCTTGAAGCATGACAAGAGGCACTCTCAGACTGGGAAGCAGCCACTCACATGTCCTGTACTAGGTAGTTAACTGGGCTGCAGTCAGTGGGAATGCCAGTTCCACTGATATATCCCCTGCTTTAGATACTTCAAGGAAACAGCAGCATCTTCTCTGAAGACAACTCTGGAAATGGGCACCCTTTTTCTAGATCTGCCTTTTGCAAGAGGCAATATGGTATAGAGATTAAGAGAATAGACAGAAGCCCATCTGTCTGATTTTGAATCCTAATTCTACCACTTTCTAGCCATGTGACCCTGAACAAATTAAACCCATTGTGCCTTGGCTTCCCCACCTCTAAGAAGACGATAATAATGGCAATCTCATAGGGTTGCTGTACGATGCTCAGGATAGCACCTCGCACCCTCTGAGTACTCAGTGAGGTTAGCAATTATCAAGATGATGATAGGAATGAGCCAAATTTTGTAAGTGGGCCATCCTAAAATGAAACAAAATGTAGGTGATAATGAAATGGAATAACCAAAGCAGTGTGAATAGATCAAGGCTAAAACTGGGACTTAGGAAAATCTACCTTTCAAGAACATGTGTAATTGTTTGCATTCTCAATAAGGGCCACATACGAAAAGCCCACAGCTAACATCATCATAGTCAATGGTGAAAGACTGAAGCTTTTCCAAAACTGAGTTCAGGAACAAGACAAAGATGCCAGTTTTACCATTTCTATTTAATATGGTACTGGAATTCACAGGCAGAGAAATTAAGCAAGTAAAAGAAAAGGTAACCAAATAGGAAGGAATTAAAGTTGATCTCTATTCCCAGGCAACATATACATAGAAAACTAAAAATTCCACCAAAAATCCCCTTTAGAATGAATGTGTGAATTCAGCAGAGATGCAGGTGCAAAATCAACACCAAAATCAGTTGCATTTGTATACCTCAGCCATGAACAAGCTAAGAAAATTAAGAGTTCATTTACAATAGCATCAAAAGACAGACATAGGAATAAACTTAACTAAGAAGGCAAAAGACTTCTACAGTGAAAAGTACAAAGCATTAATGAAGGAAATTAAGGCAGACACCAGTAAATGGAAAGACATCCTGTGTTTATGGATTGGAAGACTTGATATTAAATGTCAGTACTACCCAAAGTAATCCATAGACTTAATGCAGTCCCTATCAAGATCCCAAGGACTTTGCAGACATAGAAAAATCCATCCTGTGATTCATCCAGCATTTCAGGGGACCCCAAATAGCCAAAACAATCTTAAAAGAGAGGCAAAGTTGGAGGTCTCATACTTCCTGATTTCAGAACTTAATAACTACAAAGCTACAGTAATCAAAACAGTGTGGACTAGGCGCAGTGGCTCACACCTGTAATCCCAGCACTTTGGGAGGCCGAGGTGGGTGGATCACTTGAGGTCAGGAGGTCGAGACCAGCCTGGCCAACATGGTGAAACACCATCTCTACTAAAAATAAGATAAAAAAAAAAATTAGCTGGGTGTGGTGGCAGCACCCATAATCCCAGCTACTCAGGGGACTGAGGCAGGAGAATTACCTGAACCAGGGAAGTGGAGGTTGCAGTGAGCCGAAATCGCCCATTGCACTCCAGCCTGGGCAACGAGTGAAATGCCACCTCAAAAAAAAAAAAAAAATAAAACCCTACAAAAAACAGAGTGGTAGTTTTGATCTGGGCCTATAGAAAGCCCAGAAATAAACCCTCTTATATATGGTCAAATGATTTTTGCCAAGGATACCAAAGTCATTCAGTGGGTAAAACATGATCTTGTCAACAAACATGGTTGGAGGCTGAACATGGTGTCTCACACCTGTAATCTCAGCAGGTAGGAGGATCACTTGAGGCCAGCAGTTTGAGAACAGCCTGAGCAACACAGACCTGTGTTTCTACAAAACATTTAAAAATTAGCCAGACATGGTGGCACACGCTTTTAGTCCCAGCTACTCAGGATGCTGAGGTTGGAGGATTGCTTGAGCTCAGAACTTTGAGGCTACAGTGAGCTATTGTCATGCCACTGCACACTTAGCCTGGGTGACAGAGCAAGATCCTGTCTAAAAAAAATGGTGCTGGGAAAACCTGATAGTCACATGGAAGAGAATGAAGACCCTACACAAAATTAACTCAAAATGGATCAAAGACCTAGACATAAAAGCTAGAAATATAAATCATTTAAAAGAAAACATAGGGGAAGGCCTTGTGACCTTGAATTTGGCAGTGATTTCTTAACACATGATACCGAAAACAAAAGCTATGAAAAATAGACAAACTAGACTTCATCAAATAACAGAGTAAAAGGCAATCCAGCAATCCATGGAATGGGAGAAAATCCTTCTTTTTTTTTTTTTTTTTTTTTTTTTTGAGATGGAGTTTCACTCTTGTTGCTTAGGCTGGAGTGCAATGGTACGATTTTGGCTTACCACAACCTCCATCTCCCGAGTTCAAGCAATTCTCCTCCCTCAGCCTCCTGAGTAGCTGGGGTTACAGGCATGTGCCACCATCCCTGGCTAATTCTGTATCTTTAACAGAGACAAGGTTTCTCCATGTTGGTCAGGCTGGTCTCAAACTCCTGACATCAGGTGTTCTGCCTGCCTCGGCCTCTTAAAATGCTGGGATTATAGGCATGAGCCACCACTGGAAGAAAATCTTTTCAAAGAGTATATCTGATAAAGGGTTAATACCCAGAATATATATTTTTTAAAACTGCTACAACTCAACAACAACAAAATAATTTAGTTGAAAAATCAACAAACAACTTTAGAGACAAGTCTTCAAAGAAGATATACAGATGGCTAACACACACACAAAGATGTTCAATTTTTTTTTTTTTTTTTTTTTGAGACGGAGTTTCGCCCTTGTTACCCAGGCTGGAGTGCAATGGCGCGATCTCGGCTCACCGCAACCTCCGCCTCCTGGGCTCAGGCAATTCTCCTGCCTCAGCCTCCTGAGTAATTGGGATTACAGGCACGTGCCACCATGCCCAGCTAATTTTTTGCACTTTTAGTAGAGACGGGGTTTCACCATGTTGACCAGGATGGTCTCGATATCTCGACCTCGTGATCCACCCGCCTCGGCCTCCCAAAGTGCTGGGATTACAGGCTTGAGCCACCGCGCCCGGCGCTGTTCAATATTATTAATCTTTAGGGGAATGTAAATCAAAATCACAATGCAAAACACCTCAAAAAAAAAAAAAGTGTTGGTGAGGATGTGAAGAAATTAGAATCCCTGTGCACTGTTAGTGGGAAGGTAAAATGCTGCAAGCCACTATGGAAAACAGTATGGTGATTCTTCAGAAAGAAAAATAGAATTACCGTATGATCCAGCAATCTAAGTTCTAGATATACGCCCAGAAGAGTTGAAAGAAGGGTCTCAGATATGTGTATACTTGTGTTCATAAAAGCATGATGCACAACAGCCACAAGGTGGGAGCAGCCCACGTGTCCACTGACAGATGAATGAACTATATGTAGCAGATACATGAAAGGGAATATTATTCAGCCTTTAAGAAGGAAGGGAATTCTAACACATGCTACAACATGGATGAACTTTGAGGACATGCTAAGTGCAATAAGCCAGTCAGTCACAAAAGGACAAATACTGTATTATTCCATTGATATGAGGCACTTAGAGACAGTAGAGTGGTGGTTGCTGGCTGCCGAGGGAAGGCAGAGAATGAGTTGTTGTTGAATGGGTATAGAGTTTCAGTTTCACAAGGTGAAAAGAGTTCTAGATATTGGTCTCACAACAATGAGAATGTACTTAACACTTCTGAATTTTTAACACTTTAGAAATCATTAAGGCAGTAATTTTTTTTTTTTTTTGAGACAATTTCGCTCTTCTCGCCCAGGCTAGAGTGCAGTAGCGCTATCCCGGCTTACTGCCACCTACACCTCACGGGTTCAAGTGATTCTCCTGTCTCAGCCTCTCAAGTAGCTGGGATTACAGGCATGCACCACCATGCCCAGCTAATTTTTTCTTTTAAATAGAGATGGGATATCACCATGTTGGCCAGGCTAGTCTCGAACTCCTGACCTCAGGTGATCCACCTGCCTCGGCCTCCCGAAGTGCTGGGATTACAGGCATAAGCCACTGCACTCAGCCAAGGCAGTAAATTTTATGTTGTGATTTTTACCAAAAATAAAAATAAGTTTGTATATTTCATTTGCATATGTGTGTTGGCTTCTTTCTCCCCAAATTATTGCAAAAATGGCAAAATTGTACTAAACAGTTTGGTCAGATCTAGGATGAGAAAACTTTCTCCTAAGGATCAGTCAGGCACACACAAGGTCATATTCATATAGCAAAAGACTTCAGTTAGTATGAGTTTAAGTGGTTTTGGGGAGGCTGAAGGAACAGAAACATACAGAAGCCTTATTAATTCACTTGATACAAAGTGATAAAATTATATTCAAAACAAAACCATTTTTTAAAATATTTTAAGCGTGGCCGGGTGTGGTGACTCACACCTGTTATCCTAGCACTTTGGGAGGCTGTGGCAGGCGGATCATGAGGTCAGGAGTTTGAGACCAGCCTGGCCAGCATGGTGAAACCCTGGCTCTACTAAAAATACAAAACTAGCACCTGGTGGTGCGCGCCTGTAGTCCCAACTACTTGGGAGGCTGAGGCAGGAGAATCTCTTGAACTAGGGAGGCGGAGGTTGCCGTGAGTTGAGATTGTGCCACTGCACTCCAGCCTGGGTGACAGAGCAAGACTCTGTCTCAAAAAAATAAATAAAGTATTTTAAGCCCATATTAAGGCTGTTTGAAGCTGAAGGACATGGAGAGGCATAGAAAGGAACAAGAAATGGAAAGATCTCAGACGGAAGGGAGAGAGATGAACAGAGAGGAAAAGGAAGAGGCAGAAGCTAAGTGGGGAGACAGTGGAGAAAGAGGAGAACGTGGAGAGAAGAAACGTGGGTTCAAGAAAACGACTCAGCTCTTACCTGCCCTCCAGTCCAACTCTAGGCTGGTGTTATTAATTCCCTTTAAAATGGGAGCAAGCAGTTCCTGACTTGGCACTGAAGCTGGACCCACAGAAGCAGATGGGCAAAACTGTAGAATTACAGCCCAAGAAGTGTCCACAAGGGCACAGCTCTAAATGGATTCAGTTAGAAATTTCCTGCCTGAGAAAGGAAAACTAAGGCTTTCTGACATCTCCAGTCCCCACTGCTCTGTCATACATACAACAAGCACTGGTCTCTTGAAAAATCTGCACACCGCTCTTAAAGGGGAAAAGCAGGAAGACTTCTTTGATGCAAATGTCTATGTCAGAGGCAGTAATGATGCTTTCAGCTCTCTGGTTGTACAGTAGCCCCTAGAACTTCCTATGTGCCTTAAAGGTAAGATGACCCAGGGGCTCCTCCCAATCTGGGTGAATCACTAACCCTGCCTCACAGTTACATTCCTGCTCCAGAGTGCTCAGCCCAGAAATATTTGCAGCCTACACAGGGAAGAATCCCAAATCCCAGAGTGCTCAGTACACCAGTAACTTCTTCCTTAATTACCAGTCCTCAGAGTTAATTCTGCAAAACTGCAGATAAGGGGAAAAAGAAAACTCAAATTCAAGGAAGAGTGGTGAGGAGGGCAGGACAATAAGGGGAAAAAGAAAACTCAAATTCAAGGAAGAGTGGTGAGGAGGGCAGGACAATTTCCAGAGGCAGGGGACTCTTTCGAAGTTTCACGGCAAGGGAATGGAGCTCAGTTTATCTTTGCAGCTCTTCTCCCCATCCCAGGGGGGTGCCTTACCCACGCCTGCATTATTGAACATGCCAGGAAGCACCAGCATGATGTGGTTGGGCCAGTACTTGCGGTACAGAGGCATCTCATATTCTTTGACCACCAGAAGGTGAAGGTGGTTGATGCCCTCCATGGCGTGGAAAAGGTTTAGGAGTCCGTGCTCGTGTCGACCGCTGGAAGGAGTGAAAATAGGGCTCTTGACTGCATTCAAATTCTGCCAAAAGGGGAAAAACAGACCACAAAGGGAAATTAAAGCCTGTAGATTGAGGATGCTTAGAGAACTAGGTCTGGGCTATCTGGTAGTCCAGATGCTCTCACCCACCTTGTCTGAAACCAGGGGCAGCCGCATGCTTTCCAGGTGCTTGCCCTGTTTGCTGAAGACAAAATGACTCTCTTTGGATTTCGGAATGATGAAATAGAGCTGAACCTCTTCTCCCAGCATAGAAGAAGAGAATGTGAAGGCATGAAGGGTGGAGTCAGACATCTACATTTGCAAAGAAGAAAGAGAGGAAATGTAAATAAGCCCACAGTTTCCAAACTTCCGGGCCACTCTTTCAGGTTCTTATTAAGAGAGGGAAACTAACACGAACTGGTAAATGCCACCAGACCAGGCTGTGAGCAGCAACGTCTAGAGGGTTGGTAAGGCAAACACTGCATCATTTAGGAGCTGCCACTGACAGGAGAGCCTGCCATCTTGCACCTACATAGCCTCAATGGGAGAAGTACTTGTTGCCTGGCACTGTCTGCAATCTTTATGCTCTCAGAGCCACAACTGCTCCATCTTATGCAGAGGTCAGATAAACCTGTGGGATGTCCTGCTCTATATGCATTCCCAAAGGTCTCTTGTTAATCAGGGGGAAACACTTCTGCTCTATGCGGGTCAGGTCAAATGAATATCAGCTTTCTAAATAAAATATCAGATTTGACATTAAAATGCCTCTCCAGCCCCATCTTTTCTGGCTACAGTGGATACCGAAGAGACGCAAACAATCATTTAGCTCAGAACTCTGGTTTCAGAAAAGAGACCATTTGACTCACTGAAGCCAAATATAAATCTAACCTCCTTTTAAAGTGCTGGAGAGTTCATGTGCTTTCAGTAACCTATCTCAGTGAATAATTATATAACAGGTCTTTTCGCACTTTCAATGTGGATACAATTTGCCTTAATGAAAGGATAACATCAATTTTCATCAGCAACTAGAATCCAAGTAAGTTCCCCAAAGATTTTAACCAAAATACTATATTTTATAGAAAAATAATATACTTCTCCCCTTAATTCTAGTTTATTCTGCCTCAGAAATGTGGGAATATACTACTTAGTACTGTAATCACACAGAAACTGTATGAATAGAGAGTTTCTAATATTTTCTAAAAACTTATAATCTGTAGACCAGGGGACTTGGGTCTTCTATGTTCTATAAAGATTTACGAGCTTATTTCAAAGCAGCCCTCCAAAAGTTTTCAATAACACCAAGAAAAGAAATGGGATATAAAAGGTAAATTGTATTAGAAGGGCAGAATGATTCAATTTTTTTTTTCAAGCATATTCCTTCTAGTACTCATTTGTATTTCGGGACGAGATGTGGGAAAAGGGTTACGACTTGGCCCTGAACAGCAGAAACAGGTTTAGGCGAGTCAGTATGGCCTTCAAGCAGCAAGAGTTGTTTCTGTGTGTTCAGAGCCAAGTCGTACAAATAAAGATGAACTGGGGTAAGTATTACTATCATTTGTTGCCTTTCCATCTTCTGTGCTTAAAGATGCACTAGAACAAAAGACGCCACATACTAAGAGGTACTGGCCCATGTTCTGCATTCCTATGTCTCAGTTCTCACTGCATAAAACAAACCGACTCCACTGGCCAAGCCACCCCCAGCAGGTGTGAGAATGTGACTAGGTTGATCAGCAGATTTGTTAGAATCACAGCTCAAAGGGCATACCCTGTGGATCTGAGATAATAGTGCCATTTTAGTCAGTGATCCAAAGGGAAGAGGGGAAACCCTTTTATCAAATATACTGTAATACATGGATTACAAATAAACATCTCAGGTACTTCCTAACCTAAACATGACACATATAACCATTTGATGAAGTAATTCAAGACACTAAAACTAAGCTGCCTTCCCTCCCTTCCACAATCCATATAAATCCAACATTCATTTAATTATTGTTTCATGCTTTTTTTTTTTTTTTTTTTTGAGATGGAGTTTCACTCTTGTTACCCAGGCTGGAGTGCAACGGCGCGATCTCGGCTCACCACAACCTCCGCCTCCTGGGTTCAGCCAATTCTCCTGCCTCAGCCTCCTGAGTAGCTGGGATTACAGGCACGTGCCACCATGCCCAGCTAATGTTTTTGTATTTTCAGTAGAGACGGGGTTTCACCATGTTGACCAGGATGGTCTCGATCTCTTGACCTCGTGATCCACCCGCCTCGGCCTCCCAAAGTGCTGGGATTACAGGCTTGAGCCACCGCGCCCGGCCTGTGCATTTTTTTTTTTTTTTTTTTTGAGAGAGAGAGTCTCACTCTGTCACCCAGGCTGGAGTGCAGTGGCGCGATCTCTCGGCTCACTGCAACCTCTGCCTCCTGGGTTCAAGTGATTTTCCTGCCTCAGCCTCCCAAGTAGCTGGGATTACAGGCGTGTGCCACTGTGCCCGGCTAATTTTTTGTATTTTTCGTAGAGACAGGGTTTCACCACGTTGGCCAGGATGATCACGAACTCCTGACTTCAGGTGATCCACCTGTCTTGGTCTCCCACAGTGCTGGGATTATGGGCGTGAGCCACTGCGCCTGGCCTTTATGCATTTTTGTCACTAATGAGTGGCTTCTTCTCATGAATAAACTATCCTTTACCTGTGGCCTGAAACTAGGGGCCTTATTTTTCATCCCTCCACCCCCAACCTTACATACAAAATCCATAGTGGGTGACAGAGGGCGAGGGCGGGATGGTACCTGGGAGGCAGAGGTGAAGTCCATGTACTGGCGGCACTGTTCGCAGTGGTGAAAGGTGTTGTAGGCTGCATATTTGGTCAGCATTATGGACACAGTTTCTCGTTTCCTGGGCTCTTCAACTTTGGATTCCTTTATCACTTCTGTGGATAAAGGGGCAAAAAGCCATCCCATGAGATAAAATGTTTTCCCTATGCCTTGAAAGAAAAGTCCCCTTTTCCTCAAAAGGACTTTTCCATGCATTCTGTAATTTATGCCCTGAGAAACAGATATGAAAATTTACAAGTGTGCACATGTATACAAGCTAAAGAAAAGCGAGATATAAGGTGCTTTCAAAGATGTCACTGCTCTGGGCCTCCTGCCCGGAGTTAGTGTCTCCTTGACCCGAAGAGGAGGTGAACTTGGCTGATTGCACTGACCTTGTTTGACTCCTGCCAGCTTCTCAGTATACACCAGGCTCATCAAACTGTACTTGGGGTCATGCACACTGACGTCAAAAGGCATTTTACTGAAACTCTCGATGTCAGGCCAGGGCTCTCCCTCTGACTGGCTCACTTCAGTGCTTTCACTATGATCTAGGACAAGAAGGAAGTGTGCAGAGCAGGTGACTGGCCTCTCTCTCCATGTGTCAGGGAGAATGGCTTGGTAGACAAAGGCATTTCTGAAAAATGAGCTTCCCTATCCCAGTGTAGGAGCCAGAATTGTTTACACCCATGCTGAGAGGAACATTTGCCCTCAACGGCTCCCAGCATTTGTCTCTGCAGACTCAATTTACAAACTTCCGCATCTGTAAAGATAACTGAGTCTTCACCATTCCAAATTTCCTTAAAAGTTTAATTTTGGGTGATCTTATTTCTGTCGAGATTTTTAGCTGTGGTGACACCCAAGAGATTTTAGGATGCACTGAGCAAGATTCCCAGTGTCTTCCGCACATTAGAATCAGCTGGGGAGCTGGTAAAAATTCCCACACTCAGGCCACACATCTCAGAAATAGTTCAGTCAGAATGTCGGACTGCCTAGGAAGCAGTTATATTGCTTAAGGCTCCTCAGGGTGTTGCAATATGCAGTCACGGTTGAGACTGAGTAGACCTGGGTGTGAATCCTGGCTCTGCCCTTACAACATCACACCTTCAGGCACCATACTTAACCCTGAGTCCCCAGATTATTGTAAGCATTAGAGATAGTTTTATTTTTTCTGGGTTTAAGACAGGGTCTTGCTGTGTAACCCAGGCCAGAGTACAGTGGCATAGTCAAAGCTCACTGCAGCCTCAACCACCTGGGATCAAATGATCCACCCAGCCTCCTGAATAGCTGGGACTACAAGCATGTGCTACCAAGCCCAGATAATGTTTGTATAAAAACGGGGTCTTGCCGGGCGCGGTGGCTCAAGCCTGTAATCCCAGTACTTTGGGAGGCCAAGGCGGGTGGATCACGAGGTCAAGAGATCGAGACCATCCTGGTCAACATGGTGAAACCCCGTCTCTACTAAAAATACAAAAAATTAGCTGGGCATGGTGGCGCGTGCCTGTAATCCCAGCTACTCAGGAGGCTGAGGCAGGAGAATTGCCTGAACCCAGCAGGCGGAGGTTGCGGTGAGCCAAGATTGCGCCATTTGCACTCCAGCCTGGGTAACAAGAGCGAAACTCTGTCTCAAAAAAAAAAAAAAAAAAAAAAAAAAAAAGACAGGGTCTTTACTATATTGCCTAGGCTGGTCTTGAACTCCTGGGTTCCAGTGATCCTCCCACCTCAACTTCCCAAAGTGCCGGGATTACAAGTGTGAGCCACCATGCCAGACTTTTTTTTTTTTTTGGAGACAGGGTCTTACTTTGTCACTCAGGCTGGAATGCAATGATACAATTTAAGCTCACTATAACCTTGAACTCCTGGGCTCAAGGAATCCTCCCACTGCAGCTTCCTGAGTAGCTAGGATTACAGGCATGTACCACCACACCTGGCTAAAGTTTTAAATTTTTTTTGTAGAGATGAGGTCTCCCTGCTGTCCAACCTGGTCTTGAACTTCTGACCTCAAGCGATCCTCCCACCTTGGACTCCCAAAGTGTAGGGTTTACAGATGTGAGCCACCCTGCCCAGTCAGAGATGGTACATTTAAAGTGCCAAGACAGGCTGGACACAGTGGCTCACGCCTGTAATCTCGGCACTTTGGGAGGCCTGGGTGGGTACATCACTTGAGGTCAGAATTTGAGACCAGCCTGGCCAACACGGTGGAATCCCGTCCTTACTAACAATACCAAAATTAGCTGAACGTGGTGGTGTGTGCCTGTAATCCCAGCTACTTGGGAGGCTGAGGCAGGAGAATCACTTGAACCCAGGAGGCGGAGGTTGCAGTGAGCCGAGATCACATCACTGCACTCCAGCCTGGGTGGCAAAGTGAGACACCATCTCAAAAATGAAAATAAAAATAAAGTGAAAAGAAAAAAAATTATATATATAAAGTGCCATCTTTTGTTTTTAATTTTTACTCCATCTCAAAAATGAAAATAAAAATAAACTGCACTCCAGCCTGGGTGGCACAGTGAGACTCCATCTCAAAAATAAAAATAAAGTGCCAAGACAGTCACAGGCACAGAGCTGGTGTCTAACAGATTATACTTTTTATTATTGGCCAGGCACAGTGGCTCACACCTGTAATCCCAGCACTTTGGGAGGCCAAGGCAGGTGGATCACATGAGATCAGGAGTTCGAGACCAGCCTGGCCAACATTGTGAAACCCTGTCTCTACTAAAAATACAAAAATTAGCTGGGCATGATGGCAGGCTCCTGTCTCTAAGCTACACAGGAGGCTGAGGCAGAGAATTGCTTGAGTCCAGGAGGTAGAGTACATATCTGTGTGTGTGTGTGTGTGTGCGTGTGCGTGTGTGTGTAATAAAATTGAATAAGATCAAAAAGTAGCTTAAGACAATTTTTGAAGGGAGAAACTTTTCAAAAAAGCCTAAAGATTGGAAGTACAGCTATATCTTTTTAACACATACCATTTATTTTTATATCCCTGAACTAAAGTGTGCACATTATTTAAAATTTATAAGCCTAGTCTAGTTTTTAAAAAGGTGTCATTGTGCCTCTTGAGAGCACCATTGCATTAACCTGCCCTAAAATGAGGGAGAAGGAAGAAAGCCAAACCAACAGTGTTTCTCACTGCAAAGTCAGGTTCTCCCAGCAAACGAGCTGTAACAGACTCACAGCTCACTGGCACAGAGTAAGGGTCAAGATCGTTGTAGCATGAGCTGAGGAAAAAAATAAAAGACATCACTCTGTTGTGGTGCCAGGGAGCTTGGTGGGAAAGCTGGCAGGAAGGGCAGGCCCCGACTCCCAGTCTGATTCACTCTGGCTTTGCCCTTCTGGCTCAGCTCTTTCCAGGGGCACTGGAGTGTTTTCAGGCAAAGCTGGTGGGCCTGACAATCTGGTGCAGTTCGCTGGGGAAAAAAGCAAGGACATGTAGATAGGAAGATGAGATCATGTGTAAAATCATGGATGTGGACTGATGAGAAATGGAAACAGGCCTGAAGCCATAATAAAGTGGTTAAATACGGCCAATTTTACCTACTCTTGCTCTGCACTAAACTAATCTCTTGGGCTGGTCATGGAACAGGCCCAAGTACTTAGGTAAAACAAGTGAGGTGAAATCTCCAAGAGCGAATTTGATAGAAGATGCTGAGGGCTTTCCCTATTCCAGACTTATCCTTTGAGAAGCTTGAGAAGAACTTCTACCTAGTTGCCTCTACTTCCTCCCCACAGTTCCCTGCTAGCACAGTCAAACTGTTCTGAGATGTGAAGCCACAGTTTTGAGGCACACTGGTTTTTTGTTTTTTTGTGTGTGTTTTTTTTTTTGACACAGAGTCTTGCTGTGTCGCCCAGGCTGGAGTGCAATCTCGGCTCACTGCAAACTCTGCCTCCTGGATTCAAATGATTCTCCTGCCTCAGCCCCCTGAGTAGCTGGGACTACAGGCACCCACCATCACACCTGGCTAATTTTTGTGTTTTTAGAAGAGACAGGGTTTCACCATGTTGGCTGGGATGGTCTCAAACTCCTAACCTCAGGTGGTCTGCCTGCCTTGGCCTCCCAAAGTGTTGGGATTACAGGTGTGAGCCACCATGCCCAGCTGAACCACACTGTTTTTAGCTGCAGAGTGGAATCATCTCCCTGGTGCCAGGTGGGGAAGACACCTGGAATGGTCTTGGTGTGCCTGCTGGTTCCCACAGCCCTATTGACACCTGCCCCTCCGTCTTTTTTTTTTTTTTTGGAGACAGAATCTTCCTCTGTCACCCAGGCTGGAGTGCAATGGCATGATCTCGGCTCACTGCAACCTCCGCCTCCTGGGTTCAAGTGAGTCTCCTGCCTCAGCCTCCTGTGTAGCTGGGGTTACAGGCACCCACCACCACATCTGGCTAATTTTTGTATTTTTAGCAGAGATGGGGTTTCACAATGTTGGCCACGCTGGTCTTGAACTCCTGACCTCAGGTGATCCACCTGCCTCAGCCTCCCAAAGTGCTGGGATTACAGGCGTGAGCCACCATGCCCTGCTGCCCCTGTGTCTTAATGCAGATGGGAAGAGGTTTTGTTCGTGATGTCAGCATTGAGTTATACACATTGAAGTTTTCATCTCACTATAGTAATCCAGTGCCTTCATTCAGAGCCTATGGGTAAAATATAAGACATACTCTGACTAATGGACAAAGGACTGGTATGCAGAATATAAAAATGCCCTGGATCCTTAAGCAGTTGAATACTACAACTTGAATTTTACAATAGTTAACCATCTAGGCAACTGATCTACCTAAAAAGCCTTTATAAAACACCTTTTTTGCAGCCATAAAAAAGAATGACTTCATGTCCTTTGCAGGGACACAGATGAAGCTGGAAGCCATCATTCTCAGTAAACTAACACAGGAACAGAAAACCAAACACTGCACCTTCTCACTCATAAGTGGGAGTTAAACAATGAGAACACATGGACACAGGGAGGGGAACATCACACACCAGGGCCTATCGGCAGTGGGGGGGTATAGGGAGGGAGAACATTAGGACAAATACTTAATGCATGCAGGGCTTAAAACCTAGATGACGGGTTGATAGGTGCAGCAAACCACCATGGCAGATGTATACTTATGAAACTCGCACGTTCAGAACATGTATCCCCAGGATTTAAATTAAAAACAAACAAACTAAACAAAACACCTTTTTGCCCAGCACCTTGCTGGACATTGTAGAGAGGAGGCCAAAAGTAGAATATACCATCCCCAACTCCAATGAGCTAAAAAAGGCTACAGTTTATTCAAAACTATTTGCCAGGCACATTATCTTTTTTTTCTTTCCTTCTTTCTTTTATTTTTTTGAGACAAGGTCTCTCTCCGTCACCTAGGATGGAGTGTAGTGGCATGATCTCGGCTAACTGCGACTTGCCTCCTGGGTTCAAGTGATTCTTCTGCCTCAGCCTCCGAGTAGCTGAAATTACAGGTGTGCATCACCATGTGCGGCTGATTTTTTTATTTTTAGTAGAGACAGGATTTCACCTTGTTGCCCAGGCTGGTCTCTAATTCCCAACCTCAGGTGATCCGCCCGTCTTGGCCTCCCAAAGTGATGAGATTGCAGGTGTGAGTCACTGTGCCCGGCCTTGGGCACATTATCTTTAGCCTCCCAATAACTCTGCAGGTTAGGTACTGTAGAAATCCCAGAAGCCAAAAGCAAGTTCCCAGGATTTGCAGTTCAGTGTCTTTGTATCTTGCCCCTCTGCCCACGCCTGGCCTCAGCACTCACCAGTGTTGATCTCCTCCTCATCATAGACATCCACCTCCAGGAGCCTGATGAGCATGCGGAAGAGGATCCTGAGGAACTGTAAATAGGAGCCCGTCTTTCCCACCTGATGGAAAGATTTTTAATTAGGGAGGAATGGAGGCAGGAAAGAGAGGGGAAGAAAAGAGAAAAGAGATTTCACACATTGTCTCTCCAGTGTCTCTTGCCTGAGAGGCCTAAATGAAGTCCTCATTGATTTGTCACACCCGCTCCACCCCCATGAGGTTCTCTGGCTTCTTTCTTTCTTGGAGAAGACTTGCCAACCTCAACCTAAGAAAGGGCCCAGCCTGACCCTACCTTAGGGGGCCCAGTCAGCAGCAGCCGCCGGGGGTGGAAGGTTCGGGTGCCAGAGGCCGGGTCCGGCTGGTTGCTGTAGTCAGCATGGTGCTGCCGGGCCGAGGTCCACTGCCTGTAGTAGAGGGACTGCTCCTCGCTGCTCATGTCCCTGTTCAGGAATGGCCGCAGGGAGCTCACCCAGGCCACGTCAGCATGAGGCAGCAGGGATGAGGAGGATGGCAGCTTGCCACTCTTCTGGGAGCCCAGGAGGCTGTAGGCTGCTTTGGATAGGATCACCACTGGTGGCAGGGCTGTGTGAGGGCCCTGGTAGCCTCTGATGGGCTGTCCTGGCCATGGGAGGGTCCTGGGTCCTGAGGAGGATGAAGACGGCTTGGAGATGGTGCTGCTTGCCATCTGGGGGCCCAAGGAATCACACTCTTGCTTCAGAGTCTCCCTGGCTCCAGTTCCAGGTGTGCTGGCAGAGACCCCTTCATCCATCCCCAGACTGGTGGCTGGGCTCTGGAAGCTGGGGGTCAGGGACTGCTTCTTGGACTTGTCAGCTGTGCTGGAAGAGCTCACTCCATTCTCCATGATGGAACCTGAGAGAGGACAGACATAACCCACCCCACAGCAGCCCTGTTACTGATCTAAGGTGTGCTCTCCCAGGCTGCTGGCAGCTTTGAGAAGGAGGCAAAGACCAGGAAAGCAGCGGAGACTGGGCTCAGCTCTGCGGCTGCAGACCCTGAGCAAAAAATCTTCCCTTTGCTGCTTCTCCACGCTGCTCCATGTTGCTCCCTTGCCCTGACTTCTCAGTGGGTTTGGCCAATGGGAGCCACCAGCAGGAGATGGGTGCTTCTTCCTTGGCTTCCCCTGCATGGTCACCAGGGGTGGGCCACCTTTCTCTACTGTGGACTTCGGCTCAGGTCTGGAGAGGTGCTCCCATTCCTCTCTGTGTCAGGCCCACAGTGGCCAAGGCTCCCTGGGATTAACCACCCCCAGCACACCACACCTCTTGCTCCTTTTCCAAGTTCTGTCCACATCGTAGTAAACAGTCCCTCTACTAAACGCTCCTCAAATGACCTGGTTTGGGTATGCCCTCCAATTCCTTCTAGGACCCCCACCAACACAGTCTTCACATTCAAGTCCTGCCCTGGGGGCACTTCTTGGGGCTTCCTTCTGGGGACTGAGGGCCTCACGCCTCTGGCTTCAGATCAGCTCCCCAGACTGCAACCCCTTCCATGGACTCCCAAGCCAGGGTGGGGGATGCCTTTGCATGAAGTGGGGTGGCAGGCGTACGCGATGCCAAAGGAGGTAGCTTTTCCCTAAAGTAGCCACACACATTTGGCCAGTTTCTTTCAAGTGTGTTTTTCCTCCGAATAGACCAGCCACTCTTTGGTTTGAAGACAAACCAAAAGCTCATTATATTCAGGACTAAAGGCCTCTCTGAGCTCAGCTTGCTGCTGCCAGACATGAAAGTTGAATCCCCACCTTGGGAGATCCTGAATGAACAGCCATCAATGAGAGATGATTAAAATTCAGCCCCTCTACTCGCTCAGCTGCCAGTGTCTCTCCACCTTGGGGGAAAGCGTGCCTTCCCCACCACAGTGCTATGCATTCTGGCCAGTGAACCTTCCCCATCATCCTCCAAGTCAGCCATGGCTGGGGTCCCTGTGCTCCATGGCCTGTAGGGAGGGACACAGTAGCCAAGGACAAACAACCTTTGTGAGTTCAGCAGCACAAGGCCAAGGATGTGCTCACTTTGTGGGGGCAGCTCCTCAATTGAGGGCAAGGAAGGAGTGAGATGGAAGAACCACAGGAAGGAAGACAAGCTACCCTTCTCTTCATGCTGGTATCCAGAAGTTTCCGATGTTATCTCCCTGCCTCCCTTCTGTTAACCTTTACTATCTTTCAAACCCCTTGACTCTATTCTGAAACTGCTGACAGAGAAAACTGGAGAGCCTGTTGTCGGGGGGTTGAGGTCCACATGGTCAGCCCTAGCCCCCGGCAGGAGGAGTAGCCCTGTGCACGGGAGCAGGGCAGCTCTAGTTCCTCCAGACTGAGGGTCACTATCAACAGCAAACCCCACAGACCCTCCTCTTCTGTCCTGCACAGAGCCATCCAGAAGCTGCTGCTGGAATGGACAGGAAGACCAGTGCTGTTTTTGGACAAAATTATGGTGTGTTCTCATGTATGCGTCAGAGTGACGGGAGGATCTCAACGATAGTTCAAAAAAAGCATGAGAGGCGGGTGTGTTGGCTCACGCCTGTAATCTCAGCACTTTGGGAGGCCGAGGCGGTTGGATCACCTGAGGTTAGGAGTTTGTGAGACCAGCCTGGCCAACATGGTGAAACCCGTCTCTAATAAAAATACAGAAGTTAGCTAGCTAGGCATGATGGTGGGCACCTGTAATCCACTCGGAAGGCTGAGGTAGAAGAATCTCTTGAACCCGGGAGGCAGAACTTGCAGTGAGCCAAGACGGCACCAATGTACTCTAGTTGGCCTACAAGCGCAAAACTCCGTCTTGAAAAAAAAGGGTGAGGGGAGAAGGAGGGGCATGCCACCCCAATGTTAAGGGTGGTTACCTCTGGAAGTGGGAGTGTATTTCATTTTTAATGAACTGCAATTTCCACCTCCCGGATTCAAGCGATTCTCCTGCCTTAGTCTCCAGAGTAGCTGGGATTACAGGTGTGAGCCACCACGCCTGGCTAATTTTTTGTATTTTTAGTAGAGATGGGGTTTCGCCATGTTGACCAGGCTGGTCTTGAGCTCCTGATCTCAGGTGATCCACCCGCCTCGGCCTCCCAAAGTGCTGGGATTACAGGTATGAGCCACTGTGCCCAGACGACATTCTCCATGTTTTCTGCATTAAGCTTTATTACTTTCATAATCAGAAAAAATGGAAATAGTAATGCATTTGCTGTAATGCAATTTATCAGAAGAAAAGCCATGCCAGGCACTGCCATAGATCTGCAGTAATGCTGCAAGGCAGGGGCTGGCAGGATGCAGGGTGGGTCTTCACTATGGATAGTGGCTCCAGAGGAGCCTTCGGCATACAATGCTTGTTGTTAACCATTTAGAAATGCCATTGATTGATTCATTCAAGCAAACATTTTGTGCCAGGTACTGAGCCACTTAGCACAAACTTACAGCTTCAGGACCTGGAAGAAAAACAGGGCCTTGGCCAGGCGCAGTGGCTCACGCCTATAACCCCAGCACTTTGGGAGGCCGAGGTGGGCAGATCACAAGGTCAGGAGTTCGAGACCAGCCTGACCAACATGGTGAAACTCCGTCTCTACTAAAAATACAAAAATTAGCCAGACTTGGTGGCTCACATCTGTAATCCCAGCTACTCAGGAGGCTGAGGCAGGAGAATCACTTGAACCTAGGAGGCGGAGGCTGCAGTGAGCTGAGATCACGCCATTGCACTCCAGCCTGGATGACAGTGACCCAGTCTCAAAAAAAGAAATTCTCTGAATGGGTGATAAAAATTAAAATAAATAGGCTGGGCGCGGTGGCTCAAGCCTGTAATCCCAGCACTTTGGGAGGCTGAGGCGGGTGGATCATGAGGTCAAGAGATCGAGACCATCCTGGTCAACATGGTGAAACCCCGTCTCTACTAAAGATACAAAAAATTAGCTGGGCATGGTGGCACGTGCCTGTAATCCCAGCTACTCAGTAGGCTGAGGCAGGAGAATTGCTTGAACCCAGGAGGCAGAGGTTGCGGTGAGCCAAGATCGCGCCATTGCACTCCAGCCTGGGTAACAAGAGTGAAACTCCGTCTCAAAAAAAAAAAAAAAAAAATTAAAATAAATAAAAAATAAAAATAACTTTAAAAAAGGAAAGAGAAAAGAAAAACAAGGCCTTTGTGCAAATATGGGATGCATAATAACCATTAGAAGATTAAGGGTAGAAAAGAAGAGGGAAAATGGTACAGGTTGGGGTTGATAAAATTGTTTTTGGCCTATTACCAAGCTCTTCCTTAAATGTTTACCCAGAGAAGTATTTTCTGGCTGTTCAATAGTCATGTTTTTCAAGCATCTCCCCTGTGGAGCTGGGTCTGGAGAGGATGCCAGAGTCCCTGAAGCCTCCTCTGAAGGCTGTCGGGGTGTCAGTAAATGCCTCTGCCTTCCACATTCCTGCACACCTCCTGACTCATGTCTCTCACTCCATGAAAGAGAAAAGAAAGTACTGACCCGACGTCCCTGTGACAGCGCTGCTATTGCTCTGGGGCCGCTCCAGGTCGATGAGCAGCTCATCAGAGTCATTTTCGCTGACAGCAGCTCTCTCCTGCTCCTTCCCGCTGAGGTCCAGGGCAACAGTGGGTCCCCGAATGACCTCTTTTGAGACATAGCAGCATGCCAGACCCACCTCCTGCTCCAAGGCCGTGCGAGTTAAATAGCTTGAGTCAATTAACCGGAGGTCACAGTACTTCAAAGACCTGAACAAAAGTAATTGTGTTGTTGGTGAGTCCATCTGGCCAGGCACGCAGTGTGTATGTGTGCCTAGTGAACTGGATGCAACACGCAGCAGTGAAAATCCTAGGTTTCGGTGCCAGGTGAGCACTGACTGAAACCTCAGCTCTGCCATCCCCCAGCTATTATGACCATTCTCTGTGCTTCATTTTCTTCAAGTATGAAGAGTGGATAGTAATGCCAGAGTCCTATGGTTGTTGTAAAGACTGAATACACGTAAGGCATTTAGGGCACTACTTGACATGCCCAGTAAGCATTCAACTAATGCTTTCACTGTGGTTGTCGTTGCCCTCCAGTCTATGGTGTCTAGGTCCTTGAGAGGGGTGGGAATAGCAGATTAACAAAGACAAAGCACTGTGTGTGTGTGTGTGTGTGTGTGTGTGTGTGTGTGTGTACATAAATCCTGCTTTTCCTCCCTGCCTCTCTGATACTTCTCAAATGTGGCTATCTCCCATTCCCAAAATTGCTGGGTGCTCTCTGGAAAGTTAAAAAATAAAAGAAAGGAAGGCTGTATGGCTGTATTTCTTATATTCCTGCATAAAACAATCCTCTTCTCATTTCCTGCCCAGCAAAGGAAATGATTGGGTCATCAGCCAAATTTTCATCATCAGTTCAGCTGGGCAACTAATGAAAAATGGAATTAACTATTGAAACTGTACCTGGGAAAGCTTTCTCCAAGAGGATCTTTGCCAGTTAATATCACAATACAAGGTAGACCGTCTAAATCTTGGTATGTCCGAGGGATCCACTCTTCTGGTTCATTTCCTCTCCAAGTCTATAGAAAGAGACCCGTACGTTAAAATTAAAACTCGTCATTTAAATTTCCACTTTTTTTTTTTTGCAGGTTTCTAAGTCTAGATTTTGGACACACTGTGCTTTCAAATTACTTCCACTTAGTGTTTATATATGAGTATGTACGTATATTTTAATTGCTACTACACAGCATATACAAGGCACTTCTGTAGGAACTGTAGTTTTTTTGTTTGTTTGTTTTTTACAGAAGGTCTGTAGTTTTTTTTTTGTTTTTAATCTCAGTAGGATAAAATGGGAGATGCTGGTATACCTCATGCATTAGTAACACAAGCCAAAAACATATACAGTGTGAAATATCCCACTAGTGATGGAAAGTTTACAGAAGTCCTGGCTAGACTACCTGCATCAAGGCACTTAAATATACTTTCTTTACATATTGGACACATTTTTGGGATTAGAAGACTGAAAGAGTTTTAGTTGTGAATGACTCAGAAAAGAATCTCAGATCTCCATTAAAACAGACATTCACCAAGAAAATAATGAAAACAACGAATTACTCTTGATAGTTATTTTCCCTCCTTTTTGCTTTACTGACTTTTAAAATAACTAACAAGCAATTATTGGCTTAGGGCCTCAAAACAGTCTCTCTCAAGAAGATTAAAAATATATCCAGACCTGATTGAGAAAACAACAACAACAAAACAAAACTGCCCCTTATTTGGAAGAGTAATGTTATGTGCCCATGGTTTCTCAAATAATCTATTAAGTTATCAATTTCTCATATATATTAAGACACATATATAAACACACATATCTTCAATAAATGGAACATCAATCTTGAAAACATAAATATATCAATGAAAAGAAAAGTAATCCCACCAATCTGAAAAAATACTCAAAAGTAAAATGATTGGTTTGAGGCCCAGGTGATGTCGACACTGTTCTCAGAACACAAGGACCAGGTCCAACTGGCCACTTTCTCCTACTGGAGAAGCCAGTGAAAGCCACCATTTCTTGCCTGGACTTTTGCAATGGCATCCTCAAAATAATGATGTAACTAGTGTAAACAGAGCTGCTGGGATGTTCGAACAGGATGGAGTCCATGGCAGCTCAGCAAGGCCTCTGCAGGCAGATTATGTCACCAGATTCCCTCCTTGCTGGGCAGGACATCTCTGAAAAAAGGCAGCAGCCCATCAGGGACTTAAAAATAATGCCCCCACCTTCCTGGGAAAGAGCACCTGGGAAAAGGAGCAGTTGTGGGTATAGCTTCAGCAGATTTAAACATCCCTGCCCAGCAGCTCTGAAGAGAGCAGTGGATCTCCCATCACAGTGTTCAAATTCTGAAAAGGGACAGACTGCCTCTTCAAGTGGCTCCCTGACCCCCATGTATCCTGACTGGAAGACACCTCACAGAGCAGCGTTCTGGCTGGCATCTGACAGGTACCCTTCTGGGATGAAGCTATCAGAGGAAGAAATGGCAGCAATCTTTGCTGTTCTGCAGCCCCTGCTGGTGATTCCCAGGCAAGCAGGGTCTAGTGTGGACCTCCAGCAGCAGCAGACCTGCAGCAGAGTGGCCTAACTGTTTGAAGGAAAACTAATAAACAGAAATAGTTTCAACATCAACAGAAAGGATGTCCACTCAGAGACCCCATACAAAGGTCACCAACCTCAAAGACCAAAGGTAGACAAATCCAAGCAGATGGGAAGAAACCAGCACAAAAAGGCTGAAAATTCCAAAAACCAGAATGCCTGTTCTCCAAGGGATCACAACTGCTTGCCAGCAAGGGAATAAAACTGGATGGAGAATGAGCTTGACGAACCAACAGAAGCAGGCTTCAGAAGGTGGGTTATAACAAACTTCTCCGAGCTAAACGTACATATTCTAACCCCATGCAAGGAAGCTAAGAACCTTGAAAAAAGGTTAGACAAAATGATAAATAGAATTACCAGTTTAGAGAAGAACATAAATGACCTGATGAAGCTGACAAACATGAGAACTTCGTGAAGCATACGCAAGTTTCAATAGACATATTAATCAAGTAGAAGAAAGAATATCAGAGATTGAAGATCAACTCAATGAAATAAAGCCAGAAGACAAAATTAAAGAAAAAAGAGTGAAAAGACATCAACAAAGCCTCCAAGAAATATGAGATTACATGAAAATACCAAATTTACGTTTGATTGGTGTACCCAAAAATGACAGGGAGAATGAAACCAAGCCGGAAAACACTCTTCGGGATATTATCCAGGAGAACTTCCCCAAACTAGCAAGGCAGGCCAATATTCAAATTCAGGAAATACAGAGAACACCACAAAGATACTCCTTGAGAAGAGCAACCCCAAGACACATAATCACCAGATTCACCAGGGTTGAAATGAAGGAAAAAATGCTAAGGGCAGCCAGAGAGAAAGGCTGGGTTACCCACAAAGGGAAGCCCATCAGACTAACAGCATATCTTTCTGCAGAAACCTTATAAGCCAGAAGAGAGTGGGGGGCAATATTCAACATCCTTAAAGAAAAGAATTTTCAACCCAGAATTAAATATCCAGCCAAACTAAGCCTCATAAGTAAAGGAAAATAAAATCCTTTGTGGACAAGCAACTGCTGAGAGATTTTGTCACCACCAGGCCTGCCTTATAAGAGCTCCTGAAGGAAGCACTAAACACAGAAAAGAACAACTAGTATCAGCCACTGAAAAAACATACCAAATTGTAAAGATCATCCATGCTAGAAAGAAACTGCATAAACTAACAGGCAAAATAACCAACTAGCATCATACTGGCTGGATCAAATTCACACATAACAATATTAACCTTAAATGTAAATGGGCTAAATGCCCCAATCAAAAGACACAGACTGGCAAATTGGATAAAAAGTCAAAACCCACTGGTGTGTTGTATCCAGGAAACCCATCTCACATGCAGGGATACATACAGGCTCAAAATAAAGGGATGGAGGAATATTAACCAAGCAAATGGAAAGCCAAAAAAGCAGAGATTGCAATCCTGATTTCTGTTAAAACAGACTTTAAACCAACAAAGATCAAAAGAGACAAAGAAGGATATCACATAATGGTAAAGGGATCAATGCAACGAGAAGAGCTAACTATCCTAAATATATATGCACTAATACAGGAGCACCCAGATTCATAAAGCAAGTTGTTAGAGACCTACAAAGATACTTAGACTCCCACACAATAATAGTGGGAAACTTTAACACCCCACTGTCAATATTACACAGATCAACGAGACAGAAAATTAACAAGGATATCCAGGACTTGAATTCAGTTCTGGACCAACTGGACCTAAGAGACATCTACAGAACTCTCCACCCCAAATCAACAGAATATACATTCTTCTCAGCACCACATCATACTTATTCTAAAATTGACCACCTAATTGGAAGTAAAACACTCCTCAGCAAATGCAAAAGAAGAGAAATCATAACAAAAAGTCTCTCAGACCACAGTGCAATCAAATTAGAACTCAGAATTAAGAAACTCACTCAAAACCACACAATTACATGAAAACTGAACAACCTGCGCCTGAATGACTACTGGGTAAATAATGAAATGAAGGCAGAAATAAAGATGTTCTTTGAAGCCAATGAGAATGAAGATACAACGTACCAGAATCTCTGGGACACAATTAAAGCAGTGTCTAGAGGGAATTTTTTTTTTCTTCTGCATATCATACAATCAATGCTTCAAAATAGAGGGAAATTTATAGCACTAAATGCCCACAAGAGAAAGCAGGATTGATCTAAAACTGACACCCTAACAACACAATTAAAAGAAGTAGAGGGGCCGGGCGTGGTGGCTCACACCTGTAATCCCAGCACTTTGGGAGGCCGAGGTGGGTGGATCACGAAGTCAAGAGATCGAGACCATCCTGGTCAACACAGTGAAACCCTGCCTCTACTGAAAAAAAAAAAAAAAAAAATACAAAAAATTAGCTGGACATGGTGGCGCGTGCCTGTAATCCCAGCTACTCAGGAGGCTGAGGCAGGAGAATTGGCTGAACCCAGGAGGCAGAGGTTGCAGTGAGCCGAGATCGCGCCATTGCACTCCAGCCTGGGTAACAAGAGCGAAACTCCGTCTCAAAAAAAAAAAAAAAAAAAAAAAAAAGTAGAGGAACAAGAACAAACAAATTCAAAACCTAGCAGAAGACAAGAAATAACTATGATCAGAGCAGAACTGAAGGAGCTAGAGACACAAAAAACCCTTTAAAAAAAATCAATAAGGGGTGGGTGCAGTGGCTCAAGCTTGTAATCCCAGCACTTTGGGAGGCCGAGGCGGGTGGATCACAAGGTCGAGAGATCGAGACCATCCTGGTCAACATGGTGAAACCCCGTCTCTACTAAAAATACAAAAAATTAGCTGGGCATGGTGGTGCATGCCTGTAATCCCAGCTACTCAGGAGGCTGAGGCAGGAGAATTGCCTGAACCCAGGAGGCGGAGGTTGCGGTGAGCCGAGATCGCGCCATTGCACTCCAGCCTGGGTAACAAGAGTGAAACTCCGTCTCAAAAAAAAAAAAAAAAAAAAAAAAATCAATGAATCCATGACCTGGTTTTTTTGAAAAGATCAACAAAATAGATGGATTGCTAGCCAGACTAATAAAGAAGAAAAGAATCAAATGGACGTAATACAAAATGATAAAGGGGATATCACCACCTATCCCACAGAAATACAAACTACCATCAGAGAATATTATAAACACTTCTATGCAAATGAACCAGAAAATCTAGAAGAAATGGATAAATACCTGGACACTTACACCCTCCCAAGACTAAATCAGGAAGAAGTTGAATCCCTGAATAAACCAATAACAAGTTCTGAAATTGAAGCAGTAATTAATAGCCTATTAACCAAAAAAAAAGTCCAGGACCAGATGGTTTCACAGCCAAATTCTACCAGAGGTACAAAACGGAGCTGGTATCATTCCTTCTGAAACTATTCCAGCCGGGCGCGGTGGCTCACGCCTGTAATCCCAGCACTTTGGGAGGCCGAGGCGGGTGGATC